AGGCTATCCTCTTCAAAGGGATTCATTGAAAGCTATTCTCTTGGTAAGCCTCTCGTACTTCCAAACCTGAATTGTATTAGTATTGTCCCCATAATAAAAATTTGGTGTCTTAAGGTATTTCTTATGGTGTGTGTCTTTGATATTTTCTATACACAAATGGCCGGTCATATTCATTGTTTAGTTTTTCTATCATATACATAAATTATATATTGATTATACACATATAATACATAAATTATGCATATATCATACTTTCGCATGCTATTTTTAGTTTAAGTAGTTGGGTGGGCGGCTATTTGGGCTAATTCTTCAAAAAAATTAAATCAATGAATGTGAAATAATACTAATTAATTCAAGAAGAAAAGCAATGGTGAAACTGCACCAAGTGTTTTACTGCTTCATCCACCCATGGATAGTGACTGTAATTCAAATATTGGAAAACTCTGGATGTAAAATGGAGCTTCAGCTATTTAATTGCTCTGTGTTTCTTTTTAATGCATAGGATACATTTGCTGCTGGTACGGATACAACTTATACAACTCTGGAGTGGATAATGACAGAGCTTTTGACGCATCCGAGTGCCATGGAAAAATTACAGAATGAAGTGCGACAATTAGCCCAAGGGAAATCAGAGATAACAGAGGACGACTTAGGAAATATGCAGTATCTGAAAGCAGTGATCAAAGAAACTCTCAGACTTCATCCACCGGTTCCACTGCTAATCCCTCGAGAATCATTGGAAGACGTAAAATTACTAGGCTATCATATCCCTGCTAAAACTCAAGTCATTGTTAATGCTTGGGCAATCGGAAGAGACCCATTGTCGTGGGAAAATCCAGAGAAGTACCGGCCAGAGAGATTTTTTTTAAGTAGTGATATTGATGTCAAAGGACTAAACTTTGAGTTGATTCCCTTTGGTGCAGGCAGGAGGGGCTGTCCAGGAATTGCTTTTGGTATTATTGTAAATGAGCTAGCATTAGCAAGGCTTGTGCACAAGTTCAATTTTGCATTACCACAAGGGATAAAAGGTGGGGATTTGGATATGACTGAAGGCACTGGCATCACTGTTCGTAGGAAATCACCTTTGCTAGCAGTGGCCACTCCTTACTCTAGTTAGTAGCCTTTTCTGAAATATTCACCCATGTTAAATACTTGCTAGAGATGAAGAAAAAAAGCTCTAAATGAATGTTATAATAAAACTATGTACGATATTTATACTTTAAGTTTATCTGATACTTTTACAGATAGAAGATAATAGGTACCAATGCACGCAAATTTGCAGAATACCACAGTTGTAAGAAAATGAAGAAAAGGATAAACTGAGCCCAGGGCTTTTGAAGCAGAATCTTTTTGCATAACATACAACAGTGTACAACTACTACAAAATAGAAATGTTTTATGTGTCAATCTATTTGCTCTTGGTCCATGTTTGAGAGAGGACTCAAGGAGCAAGTCTTTATTCCATTAACGTGAAAAATATTATCAGAATGAATCATCGTCGTACTACTTGAACGAATTTGACATTTTATATATATAGACTTTGTTATACCTAAGTTTCAATGATGACAATAAT